GCCAAGTCTCTCAATAATATTACTTTAATTAATTCTATTACATAGGTGTCTGATTTTCACTAACAAATCTTTAAACTCTACTATTATTTATTACATATCAGATAATATTTAAAATATTTAATAATCACAGGGACAGGCAATTGTTCACCAGGAAAGTGGTTGGCAGGGATGCTGGGCTGGAGACCAGGACAGTCCCTCATTCCAATCTTAGACCATAATTGATGCTAAATAATACAGAAGTCTACAGTGGTACAGAAAAGAAGAGTCTGGTGATTGGTGAGGGAACTCATCAGTAAGTACAGATGCATAGTGGTATCAAAGGCCTCCTACTGTGCCTAAAAGTAACCTTTTGGTTGCTGAGTTATGAGTAGGTAGGAGATGTACTTGGAATGCTCTTGGCACTATGCATTTACTAACCATTCAATAGTGTTTTTAAAAATCTTAACTAGTATGGACATGTATCTATATACCAGAAGTATATGAATCATAAAGAAAAGCAACAAATACTATCATCATCGATGTGACAGAATTTTATTTTACAATCTAGAGTTAAAAAGTTTTTCAATTTACCATCCTGAAAGCAAAAGCTGTTGACAGTTTAGTAAACTAAAGCCTTCACTATCTCTTCGTCTTGGAAAACTTTCCAAACTTTCAAAAGTACTTAATGAGAAAAAAATTGAAAGCCCAAACCCTCTCATTATTAGTCATGACCTATAAATGGTGGCAATTTTGCTTTTTCTTTATAAAATTACCACACCTTTATTTTAAATGAATTATCCCATACATTCATCATATATTGTAATGAACTGAAGTGAAAACTAACATCCATAGATATTTCTCCCCTTATAAATACAAGCCATCATTTTACTAAGTTTCTTTCAAATAATACCAAACTCTTTTAGTACACTGGTTTTCTTTAAAACACCCACACAAACAAAAACCTGTGGCTAGAAAAGATGGGAAGATGAAATGTATTCATAAAAACTTATAACAGACTGTGTAATAAGAAAATCTGGAATCTTAATTCTATCCCCGTGATACTGGAAATGAGACCTCAGAAATTACTGTTGCCCTGTAAGCCTCAGTTTCCTCTACTGTTCCTCAACAGAACTACAATATTAGATTGCCAAAGCAAGCAATGTGATTGCAGCATAGCAATAGCAGGTGACATAAATTTGTGTCTCTTTTGTCTTGCTTCTACTGAAAAAAACAGATAATTGAATGATAGGTTATGAAGCTACCATATTGCAGAAAAATAACTATGCTGAATAAAAAACTAACACTTAATGTAATGCTAAAATCATTGTTTATTTTTTTACAGCATAAAAAAATAACACGCTCTTGTAGCAGAAAAGGTAAAAAAATAAAACACAAAAAAATATTTATAATTTCTTCATAATTGTACAACCAGAACTAACCAGTATAAGTAGCTTATCTGGTTAGTATATATGACATACAATTGAATTCAACAGTATATAATGTTGCTACTTACATTTTTTACCCTCAAATTTATACTTTTAAGCCAGAAAACATAATCCTCTATTTGTTGCTAATGATAGTGAAGCCAAGTCCTTGTCCCAGAGTGGCAGGGTGCACCCAGGCATGCTGAAGTGCAGGAGGTGAGCACAGGTCCAGGCCAAGTGGAGCCTACCATCCCAGTGTGGGCCTAAGGCACAGTGAGTCAAAGCCAAGTAAGTCAGGGCATGTCGATCTGTCTTACCCAGGCAACCCAGGCAGGGCCAGTACAGATGTCTGCTCCACGTAGCACCCACAAACCCCAAGCATTCACAATATGCTGACCTCAATCTCCTGCTTTCTGACAACAGTACAAGTAGGGGCAGACCCCAACGAAGACTGCAGGAAAGTTACTTAAGGGCTAACCAATAGTGTTGATACTTTTTAAGACCTGTTTAGCATAAATTTGGATCAACACTGTTGACCCAAGAACTATATAAATCTCTAGGCTAACACTGGCAACACCTATCAGGTCCCCTCTACCCACAAGAGTTCTGCTTCTTTTTTTCACACTTGAATAAATCCTACTCTTTTACACTCACTCTTCCTTATAGGGGAATTTCATTCTTTGAATTCATGACACAAGAACCAGAAAGAAACTGGCAGTGAGCTACTGGAGTCTGATGCAACATTGGAGAGGAAAACCCATTTAAAAGCTGCAACTGGCCACTCTCTGGCTTTGCTGGCTGTGAATCTAGAACCTGAAGCCAGTAGGTATTCCCTGCTGTGAATAGCTGCTAACACTAAAATGGGCTTTGTTGGTTGCAGAGGCCTACAGCTTATTCAGACTCCACCTACCAGTAGAACAGAGACTCTAGTTTCATCTCAAACCCTAGTTTCAGTACTAGGGATTGAACCCAGGGCTTCACACATAAGCACTCTATCACTGAGTTACATCCTCAGCTCTTTATATGTTATTCTAAGACAGGGAATAAGTTGCCTAGGCTTATCCTGAAATTGAGATCCTCCTGCGATAGCCTCCTTAGAAGATAGGATTACAAATATGTGTCATTGCACCTGGCAGAAAACAGCATTTTTCAGGAATAAATATTTTATCAAGGGCAATACATATTGTGTAACTAGTCTACTAATCATAGAAATTTTAAATTTTCCCAATCTTTTATTATGCTTTTTTAAAAATCTTAAAATTAACATGACTGTATATATAAATCCTGTGATCTGCTTTTTTCCCAAGAGGGTCTATAAGAGGCAAACTTAAGGAAACCCAGTAAAATTGACCGAAGTATTGATTATACTGCACTCTATCTTTATTAACTCCAAAATAAATTTAACTGAAACCTGGTTTCCATTTTTGTCATGTGTTCAGAGATTGTAGCACCACAACCTATAGTTGTGCTACAATAGTTGTGCCAGAAACTGTGAATTTGATCGTCTTGGTCAGCTCAGGCTGCTACTACATCGAAATAAAATAAACTGGGTGACTTAAACAATAGACATTTATTTCTCACAGATCTAGACACTGATTTGAAAGATCAAGGTGCTCGCAGATCTAATGTCTCATGAATCCTAGCTTTCTGGCTTGCAGGCAGACACCTTCTCACTATATGATCAGGAGGCCTTTCCTTGGTGACTTGAAAGAAAGAGAGAAAAGGACAGAGATAGAGAGAGAAAGAGGAAGACAAAGGAAAAGTGACGGAAAGAGAAAGAGAGAAAGATCAATCTCCTTATAAGGGCACTAATCTCACCAAAGGCATCACCCTCTTGATTAAACTCAATTATTTTCCGAAGGTTCCACTTTCAAATACCATTACACTGTGGTATTTGGGATGAGGTACAAATATTCAACATATAAATATGACCTTATCTGGAAAAAGAAACTTTGCATGTATTTAATAATCAAGGTAAGGTTCTTGAGATCATCTTGAGATCATATTGATTAGGGTAGATAATGAAAAATTCACTGGTTAACATGAGAAGAAAGAGTAAGAGAAAAGACAAACAAAGGAAAAAAGCCATGTAAAGATAAATGCAGAAAACATAGTGAGATGTACACAAGCCAAGAAATACCAAGGGTTGTCAAGGATTTCTAGTAACCACCAAAAGTTAAAGGCTCAGGCTCTTTCAGAGCCTCTGGAAGGAATCAACTCTGATGACACATTTACTGTATACTTCTGAACTCCAGTTTTGAGAGAGGATGAAGTTTTTGTTATTTTAAAATACCAAAATACATACTATTTTTCTATAGCAGCCCTAGGAATGTAATTCACCCCCAATTACATTTAAGATTAACATCATCCACTGTTTGCAAAGTTGTTTCATCTATTTTTATCAAACTTTTCTGAATTGCCTTATTAATATTTGGTCATCCAACTAGGCATAATCACAGTGCATGCCTGTAATCTCAGCAAGTTGGGTGGCTTGGGCAGGAGAATCAATAGTTTGAAACCAGCCTCTTCAATTTAGTGAGATCCTCAGCAACTGAGAAAGGTCCCATCTCAAAATAAAAAATAAAAAAGGATTGAGAATGTAGATCAGTGGTAAATAGCCAGGTTCAATCTCTAGTAGAAAATTTAAATAGTTGGTCATGCATTATTTTATGATTATCACCATACTTATGTTATATTAATGGAAAATAATAATCTAGCTGTAGTCCTATTATATTTTTTCCCACTTAGTCATAATAATATCTTAAATGCAGGAAGTATATCTTTTTTTTTTTTTTTTAATGGTACTGGGTACTAAACCCATAAGTACTCTACTACTGAGTTACACCCTCAGAGCCCCCAGCTTTTTTCATTTTTTTTTTTTTCCCAGACAGGAAGGATCTCACTAAGTTGCCCAGGCTAGCCTTGAACTTCTAATCCTTCTGCCTCAGATTTCAGGTATGCACCCCAATGTCTGGCCAAGAACTATGTCTTAAATGTTTTTGCTTTAAGCCATTTCACCTAATATGGTGCCATATATAAAGAGCATAATTCAATAACTTTCCATTGATAAAGTAAAGAATGATTGGGGCTTGGGTTGTAGCTTAGCAATAGAGTGCAAGGCACTAGGTTCGATCCTCAGAACAACAGATGGATAAATAAATAAAGGTGTTGTGTTCAACTTCAACTAAAAATATTTTTTAAAAAATGAATAATTAATTTTTCATTATATATTAAGCTAACCTTATTAAATGGCTTAGAATACTAGAGGAATCATTTTAAAATCTTAACCAACCATATTCCCATTCCCTAATGGTTTAAAAAAACAATATTTAATATTAGCAGACCTAAAATTTATGCTTGGAAATTAATAATATTCAAAACACAGTGAGTATCACCAAAGTTAGAAAGGATATAAGTCAAAGCACCAGCAAAACTTCTTCTGTAGTGCAGATTTAATATGTGGTTACAAATAAAAGTAGTTCATTACATTATGTTTGTATTATATACTATAGTTTCTTAAAATATAGTTGTTAAATAATTTTCACAATTACCTAAAAAAAGTACTAAGTAAAAAAAAAATCTAGGTAAATAACATACCTGAGTTCGTAAAATTTCATTTTTTGACAACTGCATATCACCAGTCAATTCTTTCACAATGATACCCAGTGGCTCTAGACGTTTGCTGAAGTAATTTGTCATTTCAGCTGCCAAGGCTTTCATTGGAGCAACATATACAATCTGTATCAAAGGAACACTAGCTTGATGAATGAGCAAAAACTACAATGTCATTTGCTTCACAGTAGCCAATATAAGTCACAATTTATTGTGAAATGATTCCAGCTACTTCCTGTGAGAAAAAAATCTTAATAGTGATATATGAAAAGTATTATCTTTGTTGGATAAGTGGGTAGCTATTTAAAGGACAACAGAATTTGTTTACATAGTTTTATCATTTGGAAAATTGGTTCTGCTTCAAAGCTAATGTATTTTCATAGCTTTTCACAAGGGTAATAGGATTTTCATAAAACAAATAGGGACTGCCTTAATAATGAAATAACTTAAGCAGTATTAGTTGTGTGACTTCAAGTACAATAAATATCCTAAAGAACTTCCAGATTTCATTTAACATATATAACTACAAGTTTATTTTAATTTTCAGGATTTAAAAAGCTATTGTTTGTTATTTACTTACCTTAAATTCATTCTTTTTGATAACACCTTGTTGAAAATGTTGGCGAATTTCATGCAAGACTGTAAGCATTGCAATATTGGTCTTTCCAGCTCCAGTAGGGGCACAAATCAACATGTTCTCATTGGTGTTGTAGGCAGTCTCAAATACTATTGACTGAATTCTGTTAAGTCTCCTCATTCCTTTAAAAGCCAACTGTCCAATCTAAAAACAAAAAAGCATCATTCATTATAAACTATGATAATGTGAAGAACTCATACAAAACATAAAACACAAACATTAATTCTCTTTGAGTTTTAAAAAAAGAATTTGTTCAGTTTCTAGTACATCCTATTTTTGAACTTACGACAAATTGTGAAAATACAACTGTTGCCCAATTCTAATGCATTTGGAAATGACAACTTAATAAATATGAAATGAGACTACACTGGCATTTTTGTACACACAATATGTAAGTACAAAACAATGATAAATTAATAATGTATCAAAGTAAAATTAAGTGAAGATATTTTAAAGTTCAAGTTTATTTAGAAATTTCATGATAATGTTCTACTTTATTTAATTTGAAAATGACTAGTGATAGAGCAAACAAAAAACTTCCTGGAGATATAAATAAATGGGAAATTCTATTTCAATATTTTATAAAAAATGTTTTTTTTAAAGTTTTTAAAAACAAAGCAGTAATATTACGAACAACAGTCAAAGATTTACGTATTACATAAAGTTCATACTGCAGCAAATGCAGTTGTAGGCACTTCGCTATTATTTCTTCATTTAATCCTCAAAAAATTATATGATATGTTATAATATGTCCTCTTAACAGAAAACACTAACACATAGCTTGGTAAAATAATTTTTCCTTAAGTCTTCCTATGAGAAGAATCCTAAGTGACGAAAACTAAAATGTCTAAGAGTAAACAAAATGGGGGTTGAGATTAATCACAGGAAACTAGAATGACATAAATGTCAGAAAAAAATAAATTTTGAAGCCAAGAATATTGCCAGCAATAACGAAATTCATTTCATAATTACAAAGAGATGAATTAATCACCAGGATATTAAATCTCAAATATTTACATATTTAAAAATAGGTCTTAAAAATAATAAAGCAAAAACAGTAGACATGCAAAGAAAAATAGAAAAATCCACCAGCACAGTAAAATATTTCATTGTCCCTCTCCAAAAGTTGTAGAAAAAATATTGCTGATATGAAAACCAGCAAGGTTACAGTAAACCAAACAGTACTATCAACCAACTTCACCTGATTAAATTTATTCATCTAAAAATAGAATACACTTTCTTCCCCAATGTTATCGAACATTTGTGAAGATATAATATATACTGTTTCATAAAATATAAACATACCTGCATTGGTCTTGATAAACTGAAAAAGCAAATCTTATAAAATCTGCTCTCTGATCACAATGAAATTAAATTAGTTATCTTTAATAGAAAGTTTCTTAGAAAACATCCAAATACAGGTTAAGCATCCCTAATCTGAAAATCCAAAATGCTCACAAATCTAAAACTTTTTGAGTACCAATCTAAATGTATTCACATCAGGAAATCTGGTTTCATGCACAAAATTATTAAAACGTACAAAATTGTCTTCAGGCTATATATAAAGATGTATATGAAACATAAAGTGAATTTTGCCTTCAGTCTTACTTCCTATCCCCCAGTAATCTCATTATGCGTATGCTAATATTGTGAATTTTTCAAAAAATCTGAAATCTAAAAATATTTATACTCTCAACATTTTTGGATAGGATATTCAACCAATTAAAACTAAATGACTTACTTCCTAAATAAGGTATTAATGAAAAGAAATTCTAATGGGACATTAATAGATATTCTTAACTAAAGAAAATGAGAATTTCATATATATAAGTATTTACAGATGTTGGAAAAGCAATATCTAGCAGAAAATTTCTAGCAGTAACTTTCAATATTAAGAAGAAAAATTTCAAATAAATGGCTACTTTATCTTTCAAAGTAAAACTAGAAAAAGAAAAAAATAAAACAAAAGCAAATAGAATAAAAGAGATAATAAAGATGAATACAATAAACATAAAGGCAATTCTTCAAGATTAATAAAATTCATAAATCTCAAGTCAGACTGTTCAGGAGAAAAAAGGAGAGAAAACACAAATTGGCCCTGTCAAGAATGAAAAAGGTGGTATCACCACAGATGCTACAGAAAATTAAAGAGTGATTAAAAAAATATTAAAAACAATTTTATATCAAAAAGTCTGTGCAGATGAAATGAACATGAACAAATTAATAAACTGGACTTAAGCAAAATGAAAAACATGATTTTCAAGACACTGTTAAACAAAGAGAAGTCATATAATGGGATAAAAATCTTTGCAAAACATAAAGTCCTTGTATTCAGAATATATAATTTTCTAAATATAATAATCAGAAAACAGTGCAACTTCAAAAACAGACAAAATATATAAACAGTCATTTCACCAAGGAAAATATAAAGATGGCAAATAAGTGCACACACATATACAAAGATACTCAGCTGTTGAGAGCCACAGTTTAGTCAGAATGACGCCTGGCATTTTTGCCAGAGAGAATGGTTGAAAGGTGACCCTGCTCTGGGATTAGGGCGGCTCCAGGATTAGGGCGGATCCTGCTGCCTCCAGCCCCTGCTACTTTGGAGTTCCCACTGAGTTCTTGCTGGGTTCTGAGAGAATTGGCGCACAGAGCCTGGTGGAGGCAGTGTGTTCCCAGGAAGTGTGTGTAGAGTGCTGGTGAGAGTTCGGGGATAAAGGTTGCTGTTTGAACCTAATAGGCTGTGCGGTGGCTTGGTTATTTTGTGCCCAGCCAGACTGCGGCACTCAGCATCATTAGTCATTAAAAAAATGAATGTTGCAATAACAATTTGTACCTATTCAAATAGATTAAATCTTTAAAAGTGACAAAATTTTTTACTTTTAAAATTAAAAGCAAATTAAAAATGTTAATGAGGATTTGGAGAAACTGTAATTCACACAAACTGATGGCAGAGGTGTAAAATTACTTTGGAAAACAATTTGGTAATGCTTAAAAAGTTAAATAAACATATACCCAACATATATTCCAGCTATATCTCCTTTCTAAGATTTACTCAAGTGAAAGGAAATATATATGCAAACAAAAACAAAAATTTTATTTGTTACAGTACAAAACAAGAAAACAACTCACAGATCACTCAATAGCTGAAAAGATAACAAAATGTTACATATTCACTGACAGAATACCATACAGCCATAAAAAAAAAAATGAATTCTTGAGACCTGTAACGAAATACAGAAATCTCAAAACAATCCTGTTGAATGAAAGAGACCAGACAAAAATGGAATACATATTTTATTCACTGATATAAAAGTCTAGCACACATAATCAAATCTGTCCCAAAGAATGATTAGTAGATGTGGTAGGTAGCATTAAAGAAGAAGAGAGATTATGTGGACTAAAATCATCTTTTAGAAATGATGATTATAGATGGTCACTGTCTTGATTGTGGTGACAGTTTCACATGATAAATCAATATATATATATATATATATATATATATATATATAAAGTAGCCATATTATATTATATATATAATTGGACTAAAAACTTGTAATAAAAGTCTGTTAAATAACACAGCCATATCAATCATAGCCATTCTGACTGGAGTGAGATGAAATCTTAATATTAAGTTTTGATTTGCATTTCCCTGATTGCTGGAGATGTTAAACATTTTTTCATATATTTGTTGGGCCTTTGTTTTTCTTCTTTTGATAAGTTTCTCTTTAGTTTTTTTGCTCATTGATTGATTGGGTTAAGTTTTTTTTGTTAAGTTTTTTAAGGTCTTTGTATATTCTGGATATTAATCCCCTATTGGAGGAGTAGCTGGCAAAGATTTTTTTTTTTACCTATTCTGTAGGTTGTTTCTTTGTGTTCTTAATCATTTCTTTTTCTGTACAGAAGAAACTTTGTAGTTTGATGGCATCCTACTTATTGATTCTTAGTTTTAGTTTTTGTGCTTTGGAGATCTTGTTAAAGAAGTCAATGCCAGCACCTATATGATGGGATGGTACCCTATTGATGTTATTTGGAATTTTTTCTTAGTTTTGGTATGAATAATTTTGTGATGAATATTCTTAGACATACATAGTTTTGAGTATGTACAAATCTATTTTGGATAAATTCTACAACAGAAAAATTGCTAGGCCAAAAATTGTGTGTAGTTGCAAGATCAATATTTTCTGTTCCCAAATTAACACATTTTATGTGAAAGATTCGTTGGATTTAAATAAATAATTTCAAAATTTATTATTAAGGGTCATAATAGTCATATATAAACAGGGTTGTTTGAATGTTAGCTTCTAAGAGAAATGGGAGTCCCTTTAATCTTTTGAAATATGGTGAAATGTGATAGAAATAAATATAATGCTTACTTAAGAAATTGGAGGAAACCAGAAATTACTTTTGAATGTTCAAATGAATTATAATGAAGAGTTTCTTATGGTTAAGAAAGGTTTTCTATATAACATGAAGGAATAAAATTGTTCAGATGGTGGTGGGAAGAGTAATAACAAGGGCTCATGTTTTGAAGAGTCCTGCATACTGTGTCTGGAAGGATTCTATATGCTGTGTACCGTATTCAGTCAAAATTGGCAACGAGAAGACTTCGGAAAATTTCAAGCTAGAATGGAGTGATTAGATTTATAATTTAGAAACAGTAGTCTATTTGTTTCTGTTATTCTATTCTTTGATCCTGTTTCCTTTACTTTACTCTAGCTTTTGCATAGGAGAAAAAACATTCAACCTTTGAGTTTCTGAGTTTGACTCATTTCACTTGGCATGATATTCTCCATTTCCGTCAATTTACCAGCAAAGTTATACTTCCATCCTTCTTTATGACTGAGTAGAACTCCAGTGTGTGTGTGTGTATATCTATATCACAACTTCTTAATTCATCTATTGATAGGTATCTGGGTTAATTCCATAATTTAGCTATTGTGAATTGTGTTGTTATAAATATTGATGTGGCTATATCACTATAGTATGCCAATTTTAGATCTTTGTGGAAAAGTCGGGTAGCTGGGTGATATGGTGATTTGAATGGCTATGATCAACAATATGAACAACAATAAATACTGGTGAGGTTGTAAGGTGATTTCATCCATGGTTTCTTGAGGAATCTCTATACTGCTCCATCA